GCTTGTTTCTTCTGTTCGGCCCGCCACGCTGTGACCAGATTACCGCCAGCTCCTGCCCCAGAAGAGGGTTTTTTCTCCAGAGGTGGCAATCCACCCTGTTCCCCCCCGTATCATTCTTTGATTGGGTACCAGTGGAAAGAAAATCAGATTTTCTTCATTGCCTCACTGAAGGAGTTAGAGCGTTCTTAGGGGAGGACTCTTCGTGGACCTAATGCTGGTTCTGAAATGTTAGATGATCCACCTTTGTGGTGTGGAGTTCTACCTTAAATAACTTCTTTGCTCTTCCTGAATAAAAATCATCACATTAGTTTACTAATTTAGAAGGAGAATAAAGGGGATTAAAAAGGATGCATCCAGTGAATTCATTATGTTGTTTCAGAGAAGATGTTTACCTTACAGGCATTTTTTCTTACCCAGAGTATAATCCTCCTGTTTACCTAATATGTGTATGCTGGCATGCCTCTCTCCCACACACCACAGGGGCGTGTTTGCTTTGGTATGAGCCTCGCAGTCTAACGTCGGGTAGTGGAGCTGCTGTCTATGATAAAGCAGGCAGACTTGGTCCCTGTGGGTCCAGTAACATATGCAATCCTCTCCCCGTTGCTGCAATAACATATGCAAAACAGTGCTGCTGGCCCCGACCCCTCTGCTCCCACCAGATCCCTCACCCTCTCTTCATACACGCTCACACAAGCCTGTTTGCTCCTCGGATTGTGTTTGATAACTGTGTGTGTGTGTTCCTTCAGATTGTAGTTTGTAACAGTCTAAGCTTTGTGTTGGCCGAAGGATTATCACAGCTTTGCCACCAGCAGCCAAGGCAAGGAGCAGGAGTAAAGCGGGGCTTAGTCAGACGCGACGTATGTGAAGGGACAACTGTGGGAAAATGCATTTGTGTGTGTGAGAGAGGGATGGAGGGAGCGTGTGTGTGTGTTTCCGTGCGCTCACATGATATCGAACCGAGCTCGTTACGGTTAACTGATCCAAGCTCGGTCCAAATTAGGCACGGATTGTTTTTTAGACGGTAGTGTAAATGGGGTAGTGTAAATAGTTTATTTGCTCTTTTAGTTTATTTGTAGTTTCCTTTTCACTTGTGAGGATTTAGAAGTTAAATGGGAGAGTAATATTGGACAAAGCGATGATGCATCTCTGCTTCTGCTGACCTAAATCATAACGTCAAGCCATTAGAAGAACTCTTGGGATGCTGAGGAGGTAGAGACGCATCTTAAAGTTGTTTGATGGCAGAGCTTGAGAAATAGAGGCTTACGTTTTCTAAAACACAAAAAAAAAGAATTACTTTTTCAATATACTACCCTACTTTCTCAGCACATGAAACCTCTGCAGGAGAGTCTAGGAACTAGTGATGCCAATAACGCTGTGTTTCCGCTTTAACCACAGAACAAAGACTTAGATTTCTTTAGATCATCAAAGACTTAGATAGATCAGCAGAGTCTGTTAGTTACCGGTATCTGGTAATTGAATGAAATGATGGAAGGGCGCTAATTAGGCTTCTCCTAATTTATACGTTTCTTAGTTTTTTAGGTCTAATCTGCCTTTCTTATCATGATCGCTCATATATTTTTTTTTTAACACATAAATGATAAAAGAAACACTTCATGTTGTTAAAAAGAACTGGATCATGATGGAAGTATCCGTCCCCCATAGTTAATTGATTTTTATTAAATTTGGTAAATTGCATTTAAGAATTTATGTTTATAAAAGACAGCTGGAGTCTTAGTTTCGGTTTAAGGAACAATTGGAAATCTGGATCCCAGCTGGTTTGATCCAGATGTTAGATGAATGGAGAAATCAATGTAACACAACAATATAGGACTCAGGCTTGTATAATGGATTAGGATCTTTAGGCATCCATGCTGGTAAACAGTTTCCTGTAGAATTATTTGTTTATTATCTACATTTTGGTCACACCAATAATGAAAAACTCATCAAATTAAAGATTGTTTCCCTGTTAATGAGGGTGGAAGATATGCATTCTTTTAATTTCCTAAAAATACATTGAAAATTAACTCGGCTCAATTCTGATCATAATGCGAAAATGATCATATATTTTCATGTCAGCGTATTTGGGTAAAAAAAAACAACATTAAACTATAATATACGGTAGTTTTAGTTCCTGTTGTATTTGATGATGTAAATTCTGTTTCTAAAATCCAGTTAAGACACTATTCTCAAAATGTGTTTCTATTCATATTTAAAGGACACTGAGGGATTTGCTTAATTTATTTCCAAAAAGTAAAAAAAAAAATGTTACTGGGCCCAAAAACAGAGGTCAACAAAACAGACTTCAATTCAGGTACTAACATAAAGAACTCGAGCACAAACTGACCTATCCAACAAGACATGAGGGAAACTTAAATAGTGGCTGATCAGACCACTGTTGACACACAAGTAGAGATAACTGACTGAAAAACTATCAAATAAATAAACTTAATTAAACAGATGAATACTGGCCAGGTGTGACCCGCTGATTAGCCAGCAATGACCAATTGAGAGGAAAGCTGGAGCTCATTGCAGCCCTCCAGCAGCAGATCCAAAGGAAACCGGCGACTCAAAGAAAAAGAAATCAATCAATTGCATTTTAACAAACGTCTAACAACTTGGCAAATAAAGTTAACTAAATCTGTGCTCTGCAAAAAGCTAACTTAAAGTCAGGCTAATGAAAATATTTGAAATGTGCAACTAATTTTGAAAATGAAAAATATAAAAGTTACCACACAGCTTTAGTGTGACAGCAAGCTGTCACTATACTATTAAGCTGTACTGACACAATTATAAACAAATGTAAATAAATACAAACATACATAATTAAATGATTGAGTGGATTAGTTTAGAGTTGTAAGTATTTGTTTCTTATATATTTTCGCTGAGGTTAGAGCTCACCTTCTCTTCTGCTGAAAGACACTGTTGATTTCTAGTTAGAAAATTCTTGAGGCCTTTTAAGATTGTCCAAAACATTCAGAAACTTTAAACCAAAATCTTATGTTTTCACATTTTTTTTTGTATGTGTGTAACCAGCCATTTATTTATCAGTTGCAAACCTGTTTTCAAATGACTCGTACATCCGCTCTAATAATCCCTCAGTCTCTCAGTCTGAGAGAAGTGTATTAATAAGTGTTGCTACAAAGAGAGAGGCTTATAAAGAGTTTATCCTTTAATTTGATTGTTCTTTGTCAACATATTTCAACTGATTTAATTCAACAAGTTTTGAAGCCTTACAGCAGCACTTCAGCATGGCTGTCTTGCTCTTTTGTTGGATCTTAAGCAAGACCAGATATTTATACATTTACAAAAGAAACATTTGTTTTTTGTCTCCTCCAAGATAAAATCTGGCTGAAACTTTCTTGTTTATGATCAGTTAGGTCAAGCAAAGTCAGGATTCTTGTATCCCTATGGAAATGGCTCTATACTTGAGCTCATTTTCTATTTGGAAGATCTGCTTGTGGCCAAGCTTTAAACTCCTGCTAGATGTTTTAGGTGCTTCTTCAATGTTTAAACGTTTATCCCTCCTGAAGCTAAACACTTCCCCAGCATGATGCTGCCTCCCTCGTAGTTTCAAGTTGGAATGTTTATCTCAGGCTAAGGTCACCTTAGATTAATGTCTCTAGAAAATGAGGCTCTTTTACTAATTGTAACCTGGCGATCTGCTGTGGCTTTAGAGCAATGGCTTCTTCCTTCCTGAGGAACCTTTCATGATGTGGGTGTGGGGCTATTGGGGCACTGGGCCGACATATTTCAGGTCTACGTGGTCCTCCCGTTGATTTAATATCAGGTTGTGAAAGACAGCGACCGACAGACACACATTCAAAGAAAGCTTTTAACACCACTATCACAGGTTGGTGGGAGAAAATGAGGGGATTTAATTTCTTCTTTCTCTCTCTCCTGTGCTTTGCTTCATTCAGTCTATGTGCTGGATCAGACTGTGGCGATAACGCAAGCCCAAGGTCAGGGAGGAAGAGACCTACAGCCAATTTACATGAGAGATGAATGGGAAGAGGGGGTGGAGGTCGGGTAGGGGGCTCGAGACCGGGACTTTGATCTCCTTAGGGTGCACATGCCAGCGTTAATGTGTGTGTGCGCTCGCGCTCGGTTGTGAGAGGTCTGTGATCTCATGGCCTTTGTGATGGAGATGGACCCGGCAGGGCCGACCCGATAATGACGCGACGCTCTAATAGCATTCATCCCTTCTACCGCAAAACTACTCAAGCGGAAAAGAGAGGGAGAGAGGGGAGAACAAGGGGAGGAAAAAAACAAATGTGAGGGGTAGATGTTGGTTTGCAGGGGTGTGTACGGATAGACGGAGAGGGCAGGTGGGAGGGGGAGCTAAGCTATGTTTAAGAAATGACGTGGGGCACGAATCATTTGTAATCTCAGAATCAGGGTGAGGGAGAGAGGAGGGGGACCATAGGTGATGGTGTGTGCAGCTTTGGATTTGTGTTTCAGAAAATGGCATTGGTGTGTGTGAGCCAGAGAGTGTGAGTGTGTGTGTGTGTGTGTGTGTGTGTGTGTGTGTGTGTGTGTGTGTGTGTGTGTGTGTGTGTGTGTGTGTGTGTGTGTGTGTGTGTGTGTGTGTGTGTGTGTGTGTGTGTGTGTGAGACATTAGCAGTAAATGCACTCTGCCTGTGTCGCCTTTCTCTCTCTTTATCAGTGTATATTTGCTGTGGGCACTGGAGCATGGAAGGCTTTCAGAACCCTGGCCCATAGGGGACCAGACCCTGTGTCCAACACACACACACACTTTTACTTATCGTACAGGGTCATTACAGGCTTCTAACTATACCCTGGTAATCAGCAGTTCATATCAGCGACCATATTCATCCGTCCCCAACAATGGAGAGCATGGGAATGATGGCAGAGACGAGGAGGACTGCTAGAGAAACGGAGGGCTAAGCCTCGGTTTCATTGTGTCCCGTCTGTAGACCAAACCTGAATTTGTTGGTTTTATGTTTATTAGCTGGTTTGATGTACCTTCTTTCTCTCCTCAGACTAAGAGAGGTCCTCCTGTGAAGCAACAGGAAGACGGCGGCGCTAAGTCTCCCGCATATTGCTACAACTGTTCCAAGAAAGGACACTTGGGTCATGTGAGTATCGTAGTCGGTCTTTGTCCATCCAGGTGACTCTTTTAAAAACCAGCAAAATTATCCACCCCCCTTTTTTTTAAATGAAACAACCAAAAACTTCAAGCAGCATTGGGTTCATTATTTAAAAACGGAAAGAGTACGGCCAAGCTGCAAACTGACAGGCTGGATCAGAAGGAAGCAAAGTGACCATCCAACGATAGAGGAAATCCAAAGAACGTTTAGAGTTCATATGATAGCTATCAGTGTTTTGTTTTTTTTTATTTATCCACCCGCTGTGCAGTCTACAAATCCCACTGAATGTGGTATTCTCCCTGAGGATCCTTGATGTGAGTCATCTTTACTTCAAGAGGACGGAGAAGGTGGTAAGAGGTGATGGGATCGTCGCTGGTGTTAAATGAAAAGAAATCCTAGAAAGAAAATCTGAAAGATTGGAGTCTGAAGCAGAAAATCACCTCCCACTAGAATAATGAAACATACACTGGCTACCATCTTCCTTAATCAATGGGATCAAGAATAAAAAGCATGCATAAAAAAATTTTTCAGTTCTGTTTAGTCATATAATGCCAATTCACAACACATCATCAATTATGGCAAGCCACTGGCAGCTGGTTTGGGAGATAATTTTGAATCCAAAAAAGTCCAACTGGTTTATCTTTTAATTTTAAATGACCAAAATGTTTGACCAACTCTAGAGAGTAAGTCAACTTTATTAGTATATTGCTTTTCACAGACATGGTCACAAAGCACTTCACAGGGATAAAGACCTAAGAATATAGAAAAGATAATGACATACTAAAGCATAAGAATAGAAAAAATAGCATATTTAAACAGAATAATGCTTCAATTACTGATTAATATCTCTAGTTTCACATTAACTTGTAGCTAATGCAGTTTGTGTGACATATACTCTCAGCTCCCCTCTGACCATCATGTGGTTTTACAGCTGATAATCATCCAGGATCTTTGCAACACAGACAACGTAACTGTGTCTTGACTTTAACCAATTACCAGTTTGGAAAAAATTGATACAATCTATGGAGGAGAAAACGGACTGAAAACAAGAAGGTAGATTTTAGTTTGAAGTTTTACCGCAAAATCCCACATCCTCTGTAACTGCCCCGCCCCGCTTCCAGACCACCTGCCCAAAGCGGAGATGGAGGATGTGGAATCTGGGGGTAAATCAGTTCATAAGCAGAGGAGTTGGCAAATCATTCAGTATGGAAACTGTTACTAAGGTATTTTTGGTTGTCTGGCTCCAGTGACCCATTACCCACCAACAGGGAAAACATTAAACTGTAGCTAACCTTTTTGGCCTTACTAAAGAATTACTCCAACACTGCATCGATTAGTCATTGAGGTCACCGAAAAATCATCTACTGCCTCATGTTTCTGTAAAGATCTGCTTTCTGGAAGTTCAAAAGTTTTATCCCCTGTTCAAAGAAAAAAAAAAAAAAAAAACTTCACCTGCATTCAAACATGGCGGTGGGAGTGTGATGGTCTGGGGCTTCATGGCTGCTTTAGCATCTGTTTAATTTACCACAATTTATGGAGGCATGATTTCTGCTCTCTACCAGGAAATCCTAAAGGACGAGGTTCAGCCATGAGTTCATGACCCTAAGCTCAAGTGCTTTTGTTGTTCAGTAGGAAGACAATAAAATATCTCTAGAAATTTACCTCTGAATGACTAGAAAGAAACAAAAAAGAAGGAGTCAAAGTCTGTATTAAAGAATGACCTGAAAAGTTCCAGCTAGACTTAAAATCCTTTCAATGTGGCTAAATTTAAATTTGCACAGAATAGTGGACCTCATATTTCCTACATTGTTGGAATTTAACGGGTATTACAAACACTTGACGATCGTTTTCCTTCCACCGAAACAGCTCAGCAGATTTTTAGGGAGGTAAACTTTTCATATTTTTTTTCTAGATAAACTGAAAAGAGATCTGAAATACTTTGAATGTTCATTTTAAACCAGCAGTCAGGGAATAAGTTCATTTACCTTTCTACATCTTCTAGTCGGAATTGGTTCTATGTAAAAAGCATATCTAGTGCTGTAGTTGTATTTTCATGTAAACATCCATTTTTGCACACTTTCCTCAGGAATGTAAACAACAGAGGATGTTCAGTGGGGTTTTTCCCACCTACCCCTTCATCAATCACTACGACACGTTGAAGGACATCAACCGCAGACAACACAGAATAGAGATGAAGGTTAAAGGTGAGTCAGGAAAGAAAAGCCAACAAGAAACGCTGGGCCTAATTTTTTGTTGATTGGTTGTTCAGTTGCTTGATAAATCTTGATGACAACTATTATTCAAGCAGGATGGAGCAAATGAAGAATGAAATCTGAGTCATCTCTGTCTTTGGTCATCTCCTACGCTCTCTGTTCTTTTGCATCCCTGTTAAAGGATTAATTTCTTTGTTTTAAATGGGCAAAAGTTTTGGATCATTGTACTCTGAAAAGATTAGAAGAGGAAACTTCCTTTTCCTGATAGAGGACTTTTATTTAAACTCTCCTGGTTTTCTGTAATGCGTTCTAACAAGGCTCCCTTGGTCTTAGATGTAAAAGCATCTCATTAGAAAAGCATCCCATATTTACCCCAAATCTTCCTGTAGTATATATTGTTGAGAAGACCTAGACTTATTCCCATGAGAATGATGGGTTCAAAAGTTAGTTTTTTTTTTCCTGGGGTTGCATTAAAACAATAAAAATAGGGATGTTTGTAACATCTCCAGCTTCTTTCAAACTACCTACTCATCATTATAGCTGTAGAAATGAACACACTGAAGTGGATAGCTTTAGTCTTGTCACTGTTTCCTAACCTGGAATAGTCTATTTACTTGTTCCAGAACATAATCAACATTGTATCACGTTTATGCCCCAGAGAAATCCAAAAAATGTTGTGGTTACATACAGTGAGGAAAATAATTATTTGAACACCCAGCTATTTTGCAAGTTCTCCCACTTAGAAATCATGGAGGGGTCTGAAATTGTCATCCTAGCTGCATGTCGACTGTGAGAGATATAATCTGAAGAAAATAAAATATCCATCAAGCAATATATATTCTTTAAGCTGCAAAGAAGTATTTGAACACCTGTCTATCAGCTAGAATTCCGACCCTCGAAGGCCTGTTAGTCTGCCTTCCAAATGTCCGCCTCCACTCCATTTATTATCCTAAAATGGGTGCATCTGTTTGAGGTTGTAAGCTTCATAAATGTACCTTTGCATCCTATACAATCAGTAATAATTCAACTACTAACATGTCCAAGACCAAAGAGCTGTCCAAAGACACTAGATACAAAATTGAACACCTCCACAAGGCCTGAAAGGGCTACAGGAAAACTGCCAAGGAGCTGTTGGAGCAATCATCAGAAAATGGAAGAAGTTAAACATGACTGTCAATCTCCCTCAGACTGCGGGTCCATGCAAGATCTCACCTTGTGGGGTCTCAATGATCCTAAGAAAGGTGAGAAATCAGCCCAGAAATACGTGGGAGGAGCTGGTCAATGACCTGAAAAGAGCTTGGACCGCCATTTCAAAGGTTACAGATGGTAATACACAAAGACGTCATGGTTTGAAATCATGCATGACACGGAAGGTTCCCCAGTTTAAACCAGCACATGCCAAGTCCCGTCTTAAGTTTGCTAATGATCATTTGGATGATCATTAGCAAACTGGAGGAGTCATGGGAGAAAGTCATGTGGTCAGATTTGACCAACATAGAACTTTTTGGTCATAATTCCACTAAATGTGTTTGGAGGAAGAAGAATGATGAGTACCATGCCAAGAACACCATCATTACTGTGAAGCATGGGGGTGGCAGCATTATACTTTGGGGTTGTTTTTCTGCACATGGGATGGGGCGACTGCACTGTATTAAGCAGAGGATGATCGGGGCCATATACTTGATTGCCAGATTTTGGGGAAAAACCTCTTTCCCTCAGTTAGAGCATTGAAAATGGGTCGAGGCTGGGTTTTCCAACATGACGATGACCCGAATTAGAAATCCAGGATAATGTAGGAGTGGCTCTGGAAGAAGCATATCAAGGTTCTGGCATGGCCTAGCCATTCTCTAAACCCCATAGAGAATCTTTGGAGGGAGCTCAAACTCCGTGTTTCTCAGCGAAAGCCCAGAAACCTGACTGAACTAGGAATAGAAATAGAAATTCAAATAGTAATTTTACTTTATTGATCTCACAATGGAGAAATTAATTCTCTGCATTTAACCCGTCCCTTTGGGGAGCAGTGGTCTGCCACTGTGCAGTGCCCAGGGAGCAGTGTGGGATTGAGGGTTGTCCAGAGAGCCAGAGTGTATGCTGTGGGGATCGAACCAGGTTCTTGCAACCTTCTCAGAGCAGAAGCGCACACTAGGCCAACGCTCCGCACAGAGAAGATCTGTGTGGAGGAGTGCAGTGCCTAAAAATATAGAAAACATTTGACCTCTGGACTTCTAAACAAAGGCTGCTATACCAAATATTAACATTGATTTTTTTTCAGGTGTTCAAATACTTATTTGTAGCTGTATCATACAAATTAATAGTTAAAAAAAAAAAAATCATAGATTGTGATTTCTGGATTTTGTTTTTGTTTTAGATTATTTCTCTCACTGTGGACATGCACCAAGATAGATGTTGTAAAGTGTTGTCGAAAGTAGGGAACGTTTTTCAGACTTATTTCTGTGTTCCCTGTAACTGTTCTTAAATTAAAGCATGAATTTTTTCTACAATGTTCTTTCTTCATTTTTCTGACACATTTATTTTCATTTTTTATCTTTTTATTTATGGTTTATACCAGTGGATACCAATTAAAGAAAACCTTTCTGTCCTTAAATCCAAGTAATTTCCCTCTGGGATTATTAAAGTATTTCTGATTCTGATTTTTGTTTTTCTTTAGATATAGGAAGAAATGGAGCTCCATCTGCTGCGTCTCCCGCCCCTCCAACTCCTGGACCACCAAAAAAGAAACAAAAACTCAACCATTACAAAGACAGCCCCAACTCTAAGCGTACGCCCCACCAAACCCCAAACAGAGCAAATCCTAACCACATCATCTTCAACGATGATGACTTTGATTCTACACCCAGAAGAAAGCCGGATAAATCACCCAAAAGTGGGAGCAGTGCAAAACCATGGAAGCCTAAAAGGCCTCTTCCTGCTACAAGAGACCCATTGCCATTAAGTAAACTAGTTGTTGATGAAGCAAGTGACTTTCCCAGAGGGGGAGGCCCTCAAGGAGACAAGGAGGGGAAAATGAAAAAGAAGAGCAAGTTCAGAAAAAAACAGGGGAACTTATTTATGTCAGAGGAGCAAAAAGACTGGAAACCAGGGCACGTTTACAGGACTGGAGAGGAGAGGAGTAGGGGCTCGAAACCAAAGAATCAGATGGGAGAGAAGAAAAAACAGAGAAAATTTCCCAACAAGACTCCTAAAAAACAAGCGGGCAAACCGATGTATGAAGAAGATAATCTGTTTCTCATTAAGCAGCGGAAACGCAGCAGATAGCAGGGGCTGCATCTGTCAGGATAATTAGGATTGTGGAATTTTAAGGCATCTGAAGTGAGAATGATGGTATTTATTGTGGTTTCTCATAAGCAGCGTTTTAACACACCAGTGAGAAAGGCTGTAAGGAGCCGGATTACTGAACAGCTGAGTCCACTTAACCTTTCCCTTTCATCTTTCAAGCTCTCTGTGGTCAGACCAGAACATCCCATATTCTCAGAGCTGAACATTATCAACAAACCATGCAATTAAAATGTTACTGTTAATTAGAATAATGATGATTCTGGTTGGCATCATCATTACTCTTCTCTTACTTCCCTGATCATCATAAGGAGGCCAAAATGCTCCATGTGCTTCGGCATCGAGTAAAAGCTGCTCGGTATACTACTGCCATTTAAAGTGTGAATGCAGGAAACCTGAAGTTTCATCAAATATCCGAAATTCGCCCCAAGCAGCATATTTACAGCGACAACTGAAATTATATATACAGTGTTGCTTTATTCATTTAGGATACATTCTTAACTCTTATGCTAAGATCAAATTGTATGACTAATATTCTGTTTTCAATAAATTCTTGAAGCGTTAAGTTTTCACACTGGTTTCATTCAGAGCTGCCAAGTAGCAGATATCGTTTTAATTATTTCAAATTGCGTCTGAAATGGCTGCTTTAAATGATCAGCACAGTGTAATGCTTCTTTAGGTGCTTTGTGGAACCAGTTCTTGTTGTAATTGTCAAGAAATATCACTTTATTACTATAGCTAAGTTTAACATTAAAGTATTTCAAATGTTCTTTTTTTAACTCTGTAAAATTAATGTAGATCCTCTAATCTGGACGAATATCTGTGTTTACCTTATTTTTTTCTCTTTGGAGCTAATTAAAATACAGTTTGTTTTTCCTTTTTTAAATCATGTTTGGGAACCTGTTATTTTATCTCAATTTAAACCAAGCATTTAACTGGCAGTTTAATGGTTTATCCAAATAGATCGGACCCTACAGCTTCTGTGTGCTTACCGTGTGTCTCTGATGCTGAGCTACGGTTAGTCCAAAAAAATAAAAATAAATCACCAACATCCCTAATGTTGTTACATGTGCCATTCTGACGTAGAAAATCTTTTTTTGTGTGTATGTGTGCAGCTGTTAACATCTGTCTGTAAATGTTTGGAAACACACCCTGGGACAGGATTTTTTTTTAAAACGCGTAAATATTAGCCACGTCGGACATTAGAAGTACCTATAAACCATGACAATATCATGCACTGATCAGTCATTTCAAAGTTTTTGAAAAAAATGTTTCTAGTTAACTTAGAATGGTGCTTAATCTACATTAGCTGCTGGCTTTGATGGTAAACGCTGCTAGATGACACTTGGCATGCTGGGGATGTTTGAGTCTATCATGGATTTTTTAAAATGAGAATAAAAACTATGGGATCAAGTAATGTTGTTCAGCAGGTTCATTTTTTCCCTAAATCTCAACACGTTTCAGTTTAAGGAGAAAAGTGTTGTTCAGAAGTTTAATGTTCTTGTGATTATTATTTTTTTCAATTATTTTTCAAGGGAAGCCTCTTTTTATTGATTTAGCTGAAGGTTAAACAAGTAAAAGGATTATATTGCTGGTTAAATGATTGAATATCCACTTAGATTTTTTAATGTGTTATTTTTAAGGAATAAGGGAAATCTATCAGCAGCAGATATGTATCATTCTCCACTTGGTTCTATGCTTAGAACATGTTTTACCTTAAAACCTGATGGAAATCCAGCTGTGAACCCAGATGTACTGCTTTCTGTGCTTCAACTCCTTTAACTTTTTTTTTTTTTCAGGGTTCATCAAAAAAAAAAACTAAGCACTGAAACAAATTTACTTCCAAAAGGCTTCATGTGAAAACCCTAAAGATCTGATAAAAAAATATCTTTATATACCGGTACCTTTAATACTTTTAGATTTGCTGCAAACTTCTATGTATACTTAATAAGGATTCTGTGCAATGGATCAACACAGTCAGACATTAGCTAAAAAAAAGAAAATATATTGATAAATGTTCCTAATATATATATTTTTTCACTAATAATCTCAGAAAGTGTGTCCCCCTTCTTCTCCACTGCCAAATAAAATCTTGTACACTTATAGTTTCTATCAGAAGTTAAAGGATTGTTGTATTTTAAATGTAATCTAATTCTACAGATGAATCAATACTGGTGGAGAAAAACAGGTATCAAGGACCACTGCAGACAATGTCATAGAGAGGGATGTGAAGAGGTTTAAAGAAAATCATCCAATTTTACTCTGCTTGCTGATAAAAAAAAATCTCCAGCTTTGAAGATCGCGCTGAACTTTGTTTAAACCATTCTTTAAAAAATAGCAAGTATGGCACAGCTGCCCGTCCCAGCTGACCGGGGAACACTAGGAGCTTTAATCAGAGAAGAAGCTAAGACTTCAGTGGTATTTCTCTAAGCGCTGCAATGAACCACATTTTAGGTAGGATTGAATTTATTATTTTTTTAAACAGTGTCCTGTCTGGCAATGTGGCAATAAGAATAATTGTCTTGATGCCAAAAAGAGAGCCCTACAGATTTTGCTTTCACAAGTGGAGCACTGAATATTTTGACAGGAACATTTTTCTGCACATCATGCACATCTATTCTGTATGGAAAAGCTGCAAGAAGTAAGCTATCCTTAAGCAGTAATTCCTCATCTTTTGACATGTTTGTCTATGTGTGAAATGCTTTGTAATGCAGGGAACCCTTATTCACCAATATATTTAGAAATATCGTCACTACAATCAAAAATAATGATAGTAGAATCAGGATAAACAGATTCTAAATGTAAACATAGATTATGTCCTCTAATAACCTATACTGATGCTCTTTCCCGTTATGTTTTCGGTTTATAAGGGTGATATCCTGTGTCTGGAACATGAGCCAAAGTGAATGTTTTATAGTGGTCATGGTGTCGTTTTTTTTTTCTTCCAAACTGGTGGGTGATTGCTTTCCTATCTGACATTACCTCTTAGCAGTGGATTTACCTAATCATGTGTTTTTACTGCAGAGAACAGGGCCTTAAGCAGGCGGTAGTCTTGGCAGTTGCACAAAACACCTTGTCTTTTTAAAAATCCACTATATGTTCATTCTTTACTGACCATAATGACCGTCAACTCAATCAGGTTAATAATAAATACCATATCCAAAATATGTTAGCATATATTCTAAATTAATAACAAAAAAATTTGGGATGAAATACCGTCAAATCACACAGTTGGCACCACTGATATTAATGGTGAATTGATACATATGAATTAACAAAATTAAGAAAAGTTGTCTATATAAGTGTGTGTGTATATATATATATATATATATATATATATATATATATATATATATATATATATATATATATATATATATATATATATATATATACACACACATAACATAAGATTCTGTGTGTGTAGGTATATTTTTATGACCATAAATACTATCACTAACATGCTATACTGTATACATATTAGGCTGAGTAGTTAGTAGTATTTAACATATAGATACAGATGTATTCATAGATATAAGCACCAAATGTAGCAACCATACACTTTATGTAAGAGTAATGGGAGGCAATAATAAGCTTGCAATCTTTCTACACCTACAAAAAGATTTTTTTAGTTTAGGATTTTAACTTAATCATATGTTTCCTTTTTAATTTGCCAAACTTTGGATAATATGTCATTGTTACTTAAAAAGCTGATTTCTTCCAAATGATGTTAAAGTAGTGGTGACGTCAAATCATACGTTTGTCCCCATTATTTTTACCCAACCCTTTTTGTTTCAGGGACAGTAACAGTCTGAGTATCAAACCGGTTGCTCCAAGAACCAAATGCTCTGCTCTCAAACCACTAGGCCAGCCCATGGCAGCTCAATCCCTGATTACCGTAGCTTAACTCTAGACCAACTGTAAACTTCAGTAATAATGTATAAAAAGGCTTCATTGTAAAGAACCTACAGTGCTATTTTTGGGTGGCAGCATGTCTGTAGCCTCAATTTATATTCTTTAAATTGAAAATTAAAAGAATATAAATTATCTTGCTCTGGAACATGGTTTTCCTGCATTTTACAACGAAAATATGAAAGTCAGATGAGCTCACACCTTTTGAAATATTAAACAATTTAAAGATATAAGAACCAGTAAGTCACTTGATTAAAAAAAAAACAATTGAACCATGTTGGTTTTCTGAACTGATTTAAATCATTGTCCCTATATTTAACACTTAATTTTTTAAAGTTTACACAAATAAGTGTTTTTTCAGCTCTAAAAAAAGGAAATAGGTTTCCTTTTTTCAGTGAACTCCTTTGGAGCCACATTTCGCATTCTATGCGTAGAATGCAAAATGTCTATTAGCATTTAACATAAAATCTGTACACTATAGCCTCATGGATTTATGTAAATTTTTTGGATATAAAATATTTTTGTATACGTGACTTATTAATAATTGATTTATGGTATAGGGGGGGGGGGACATCTCTTTAGTGGATTTGGAAAATTAAAGCCTTCTAAAAAGGGTTAGAACGCCTGTCCGTGATAACTAAACATACAGGAATAAAATTGGATGGTTGAGATTGAAGCATTTTTATGTGTCTGATGGGTATAATAAAAGTCCTTTTCTCAATATGTGTCAATTCTTGAAATTTGATTTTGAATAACGCTTTTTATTTAACCCTTTACCTAACAAGGCCCAAAGTGGCGATTTTGAGACATTTTGTAATAATGATTGTAGAATGGGAAATAAAAGTCCCGTGTTTGAAAGATTTGGTTCTCTTACCCATGAGGACTTTAACTTAATTTTTCAAAATCTGGTTATTGTCTAATGCACATTACAATAAATTGTCAACTGTTTAAACGTAGAAAAAAAATATATATATTTGTTTTTTCAAAGTTTTAATTAAAATAAATCTTCAGATTCTCCATTTTTTTTATAAATATATACACATGTTCTGAACAACCACTGTGAAGGACCAACTCTGCCATATAAAAAAAAAAAACAGATATAAATAAATGCTTAATAAATAGATAAGCATACAATTTATTGCCCCGAAAAATTCAATAAACATATAAATGTAGGTAGAAATTAAAAATTAATTATTACAAGGCGAATAAATAAAGACGCTAATTAAAAGAGATTCATACATTTATGTCTCACTGTATAATTTAATTTCTACTTACATTTTTTAGTTTATTGTATTTCTGGGGGCAATTAATTGTATGCTTATTTATTTGAGCATTTATTTTTTTCTGTATTTATTTTTAAATATGGCAGAGTTGGTGCACCATACAACCACCAGTAACTCTTTGTTCATAACTCTGGGTTTACCAAATACAGTGCAAAAAATAACCAATAATATTGTATACCAAAAAAAAAGGGCAAAGACAAAAGAAATGCCTTGCAGATATCTTCAAGTAGTACATTTCTATTGCACATGAACATTTGATTCACGAGTCGAAATATAGTGTTACATGAATCTGAGAAACTGTAGAAAATAAATACATACATATGGTGAAATTACAACTATTTTTTTTGCTTTAACACTTGAAATATAACTTCGAACATTAAAAAAATGCAAAAGGTAAGCAAAATATTTTTTTTTCCATTGAAGTGAAGGTGTTTTTAATTGAAAATATATATTTTTTGATTGAAGCTACCTTTTTTTTTTTTATAAAGACACAAAACTACCTTCATAGTCCTGCAGGTTCAACTGCAATCTAAAACAACCACGCCACACTTCTTAGATTGTCAACATTAAAAAAACAGTGCCACCTATTCTTCCTTCTCCATTTGTCATGGCCTATCAGATAAATTACATTTAGGTTCTTGCTTTCAACTTGGCAGGAAATGTCGAAACGTTTAACTACTGTGTTTTATTAAAGCTTTCACGATGCGGGTAATGACTTTTCCCAGCGGCTCCTGAACGTCTCAAAGATACCGTCGACGCGCTACGTCATCTCTCCGTCCCACGTAATTAACCGTCAGGTGCCACAACATCCGCATCTGCATTTGTGTTGGGAAACCCTGCGGTCTTGGCACTTTCGGCTCTCCGGGCTGCGTTGGACTGCTTGTTGACTTGGACCAAGAAGTGGGGAGAAAAGATGGAGGACGGTTTGAAACCAACCGGCGACACTAAGCTGGACCAGGCTGTCCGACAGTGGCTGCAGCATGACCGGGTGAGCTGACAGCTAGCTGCTTAGCTCCCTCTGCAGTGTAGGAGACAGAACCTGACGGGTGGAGTGGCTGACTCCGACTTTTCTACCACACCTGAATCAGATATGAACGGAGAACATTTTTGGGGCTTTTATTCTGAAATTTAGAAACAGATGTGATTAGACGATTAATGAGACAAAATGGTGACTTATCGACTTAAGATATTAAATTATACATAATTCATTTGAGTATTTTCCCGAATAAACCAAAAATGGATAAGGTTAGTATTGGTGAGTAAATTAAAGAGAGAGGAGGTGTCAGAAGAAGAGTAAACTCAATTAGCATCACTCAGCTGAGAGGACAGAGAATGTCTAACATCAGACACATAAAAATTAGAGATAAAATTAGTGATCTTATGGCTTTTTTTTGGAGTACAGTCCTACATAAGGTATGTACTATACCCTTTACAGTATTGCTCTTGTCTGACAGATTTGACCTAATTATTATGTTTTTGTTGTTTTTGTTTGTTTTTCTCTCTGTCTGTTTTTCCATCTTCTTCGTTTTGATACTAATTGCCTGTTTATCTAAATTTAAAGTAAAAAAAAAAGAGTGATCTGTAAATAGATTTCTGAAATTAAAAATAAGTTGCCTTTATCATCCAGAATAATTTTTCTTACCATAATCACAGCATTCTTTAGAGATTGGAACTTCACACTTGCCAACAAATAAATAAAAACAGTATAGTGGATAATTATGTAGCCTTTGTCTTAAATAAATATTTAATTAGCCAATTAAATATTACATTGAGAGTTTGTTGGAGTTTTTGAGTATCTTCAAGTTAAAACTTACAGCCTGCTATGGATACTGACAGCTGAGTTATTTCCATGCATTCATCAGAAAAAGATTCACAAAACATTTTAGTTACACCTTATTTTTCTGAAAGCTTTTATTTTATAGTTGCTGAATTCCACTGCATGTTCAGAAAAAAAAAAAAAACCCCAGAGCAGCATCCAAATAAAAGTATAAATAAACAAATATTTTAATGACTTTATGTAAATAAAGATTGTACATTTTTAACGTCTGTGATGCAGCTTAGAATAATAGTCTAAAGAAAAGTTCATGCATTTAATACAATGGATGTGATGGTGCGTTCTGTTAATTTCTTTAGATAATTAGCTTCAATTTCACACACTGATCAGATTAACATCACAAAGAGGAGACTTAGTCATAGGATGTTCATGCAGTTACCAGCTGACCAGCACAGGAAACGTCCTTCTTGGCCCTAAAGAGACATGCGATGCCACCAATTAGAGCTCAGGGGCCTTAGATTCATTAGACTTTAGATAATTGTGTTAAGCTGTTCTTATTTAAAATACTTTTTATTTCTTTTGGTGCTTGTTGTGTATCTTCTTTTTCAAAAGTTGCTTGTTTAAAGTTAAAAAAAAAGTTAAACAATTTTTCTATTTAGTTATTTTCTCCAAGCTCATGTTAGGTTGATTATGTACTAAAATGCATTTTGAATTGATAACCTTCATCAAATAGTCATTGTATTTGTCTTTAACCCAATCTCTGTGTTTATATGCCCCAGAACCCCAAAACGGTGTCCCTGGTGCAGGACATGGTGAAGGAAGGGGCAGTGGATGCCCTAAAGAAGTGTTTCTCCTCGAGGATGGAGTTTGGTACAGCAGGACTGAGAGCCGCCATGGGCCCCGGCATTTCCTGTATGAATGACCTCACCATCATCCAGACTACACAGGTTTGTTAATGGAATAGCTACTGTTAGACATTAAGCATTCCAGTCACATGAACAGTCACACATGAATCATGTTAAAGCCTGAAGCTCACAAGCCTCTGTTTTTCACCAGTGAGTTTCATCCGTTGACCTGTAGAAGTGAAAGAAAATGTAGCAGTCATACAAAAATGGATATGAATATAAGATTGAATTATAATTACATCTGAATCAAATGGATTTGCAGCCAATTAATATTCTGGAGCATTTAGCCTCCTGTCATCTTGGCTCATGGGGAAACCTCATGTTAACCCAGTGTCATTAGGGCATTTTTCTGGCCCAGAAGAAAAGATCTGCTTAATTTAAAACAGACTTTAACATCGATCTTACATCAGACTGATCCTGACATACCAGCTTTCAGGCTGTCCTAAAGTCAATCAATTATTTTGATGTTTCAGGGTTTCTGTTGTTACCTGGAGCAGAGTTTTAGTAACCTTAAAGAGCGAGGCGTGGTGATCGGCTACGACGCTCGCTCTCACCCTCCCAGCGGGGGCAGCAGCAAGAGGTTCGCCAGCCTGGCTGCTGCAGTTTTCATCAGCCGGGGAGTGCCAGTCCACCTCTTCTCTGAGATCACCCCAACACCATTTGTGGTAGGTTCTTCAATGGCAGTATTTTTTAAATTTTTATTGACTTTTGACAATATTTAATTGTGTTTTATATATGATGATAAACTTGGTGAGAAAGAGAACATTCATCCTATAAAATATCTTTTAGAATTGAAAAGGTAATTTCTAAGTTGAGTTAAGCTTGCCTGCTGTTAAGGTTTTCAGAGGAGCTGGCTTTAACAGGACCAAAGCTCCAGGGCAAATTCCAGTCAAAAGGAGTCATTTAGTCCCTGGCGCACAGCAGGTTGCATAACACATGTTTCCCAGGTCATCATGTTTAGAAAACTATCATTTACTCTATCTTCTCTCTGAATGAGTCTGTAGTGATATTGGACTGATTTAATGCACCTAAAACTAAAACATCATCCTGAGCCTCATTTATCTATAGCCTCTGAGCTCCTTGTTAGACTTTTTTTAAGCATTTTTCTATTGCTCTTTGCTCTAGCTTTGTTTTTTCAAGCAAGATGAGTTTTAATGTGGTTTTAGTTAACTTTAACTTTAAAATGGGTTAAGCTCTTTGGATGTAATTCATGTGTTGATTATATTTTGTAGAAATCTATCAGTAAGGTAGTTCAATCTTTTTTTTGTTTATTTATTTTTTTCTCCATTCTGCCAAAAGATCACAACTCATCAGTTAAAGATATTGGCAGTGTAATATACTTTTTTTTTTTTTTTTTAAGTCAGGAAAACCATTTGTTTTCTGTAAACATCAATAGACGGGTTCCAGGCACCACTTCAGCCACTGTAGTTTATTTTGTTTTGAAGATATCTATTCAGTTAGCCTGGTGTTTAAAAACAAAAAAAGAAAAGAAAAACAGCCTAAGAGAAATTAAAGAAATATTATCTGGCTGATCTGTCTGGTCTTGATATAAGATCAATGTTACCATCTGTCATCTGTTTGATATCCTTCCTTTTTCAGCCTTTCACCGTTTCCCACCTGGGTCTCTGCGCTGGCATCATGGTGACTGCTTCACATAACCCCAAGCAGGACAACGGCTACAAGGTCAGACACACGTTTTTACAATTGTCCTTTTGGTTTGCTTTTTTTGTCAGAGATGCACCAGTAGGTTACCTGGGATCACAATGATTTCTTAGACCATCTTAGATCAGTTTCTGATCTTTCTCAAAGGGATAAAGGAAGAAAAAAATCATCTAAGTGGTAATAATCCTGTTCCTGATAGGTGTATTGGGAAAATGGTGCACAAATCATTTCTCCTCACGATGCTGGCATCTCCAAAGCTATTGAGGAGAACTTGGAACCCTGGCCAGAGTCCTGGAACACAGAGGAGGCCCTGAAGACCACCTTGCTGAAAGACCCCTACCAGGATATTACCACAGAATACTTTAAAGCTATCCAGAAACACTGTCACCACAGGTAATGCAACATAAGCAGCATGTGGCGTTTAAAACCCTTTGCAGCGAGTTCACCAATGTTTTAACTATTCTCTTTGCAGAGAGATAAACAAGAACTCGGAGGTGAAAATAGTGCACACATCTGTGCACGGCGTCGGTCACAAATTTGTGCAGTCAGCTTTCAAGGCTTTTGACCTTCACCCTCCGTATGCTGTGGAAGAACAGAAAGATCCAGACCCGGAATTTCCCACCGTCAAATACCCCAATCCTGAGGAAGGAAAGGGAGTCCTGGTACACAGCTCTGTCTGCATATAAATGATCAAGTCCCTGCTGTATTGGTTTGTTCACTCTTTTACTTTTCTGGGTTGATTTGCAGACATTGTCGTTTGCCCTTGCAGAAAAGGAAGGAGCCTCTGTGGTGTTGGCCAATGACCCCGATGCTGATCGGTTAGCTATAGCTGAGAAGCAAGAAAGGTGGGTGTGATTGACGTTTATGAATTAAGAAAACAACACTCTCTCCAATAATGCAGACACCTTTGTCCTAATATCCCTAGTAAACGTATGTAAAAGGACTTCAGATCATGTTATTTTGTTTTGCAATAGCATTATCACTCTGTTTGCGATCCGCATTGCGTGCAGCAGCCACCACAGCCTCCCAGACACTGTTCAGAGAGGTGGACTGTTTTTCCTGCCTGTAGATCTCACATTTCATGAAGGACCACAGGTTCTCGATGTGGTTCAGATCATGTGACCAAAATCCATCTGGCCCATCAAGACTCACTCTCATTTCAGACCAAAACACCTTGGAGAAATCAGTCTTCAGATATTTCTTGGCCCAATCTTAACGTGTTGTCTTGTGTGTCTTGTTCAAAGGTGGCCTTTTTTTGGCTTTCCTCACCTTGGCCAGGTCACTATTGAGAACCTTGTGCTTCTCGGCACTCCAGACATGTTGCAGCTCTGAAATATGGCACAACTGGTGGCTAATTGCTTCCTGGCAGATTCACGCTTGATCCTTCTCAATTCATGGAGTTATTTTGCGTCTTCTTTTTTCAACATGCTTCTTGCGCCCCTGTTGGCTATTTGCCATGAACCGCTTGATTCTGCGATGATCCCGCTTCACAATCTTGGCAATTTCCAAACTGCTGCACCCCTCTGAAAGACATCTGACAATTTTTGACTTTTCAGAGTCTATCAAATCTCTTTTCTGACCCATTTTTCCAAAGGAAAGGACGTTGCATTATAATTAAGCACACTTTATATAGGGTGTTGATGTCATTAGGCCACACCCCTTCTCATTACAGAGATGCACACCACCTGATTTACTTAATTGGTAGTTGGCTTTCAAGCCTATACAGCATGGAGTAGGACAATATGTATGAAAAGGATGATGTGGTCAAAATACTCATTTGCCTAATAATTCTGCACACAGTGTATGAATATGATGTGACACAGAGTTAATTTCGTTTAGCTACAGCTCATAATAACCACGATGGTAAATGAAGGAAAACAAATCTTTATATTCATTTTTAGAGATGTTCAACAAAGAGTGGCTGTAACTGGAGCTCTGCTCTATGCTCAGAGTCGGCTAAAAGCTAAGGTTTGGTGAAACAAATGGTAAGAAAGTAGAAAATCACTTTATTGTGACTGTTTAGTAAGGTAGAGACCCCGTGATCCTGTGGGCTTGTTTCTCCCTGGGAACTTTGCTAAGACTGTATGATTTTATGAACCCACCAGAACTTTTCAGGAGAGATTTCAGTGCCACATGACAAGTGTTTGGGTCTTCAGTGGTTTGGAGACAAAAGGCTCACTGGACTCAAAATCACCTGCCCTCTGTGACCATCTCAGTCTCTATTCCTAATTAGACATTCTTAGAAGCAAATTGCAGCTTAGAAATGTAATTATAAGTAAAAGGACGTCAGTGCATGAGAGGTTACTAAAAATAAAATAACCTCTCATTTTCATTTGTAGATATACTAAATAGATCCAGTTCCAGTTTAAGGCTTTTGGAAAATCCTTAGACTGGAAAAAAAAAATCCACATCTGTGATTAAAGTTATGACAGAGATTTTTCTGAAGCATTTAGTAGCATGAATCATTCCTACAAGCCATGGATATCATTGAGATTTGAACTTTATTTATTTTCTCTAGTTTGTTGTGTAAGTAGCATTGTTTGCTATGTAAACATTTTTCTCAGTCCAGTTACTCTCCACCAAAGTGCTAGTTTATAGGGATTTTCTTTTATGGGTTTTACTTTTTCCTGCTACATGTAGGACTAGTGGCTCGTGAGTTGCTCCACTGGTTAGAACCTTTTTCCCTCATTGAGTCCAAATTGTTGTGTTTGTGCCAGATTTGCCTGCCTGCTTTTCCTTTGACCTTCCTGTGTTTTGTGTTTGCCTCAGTGGACAGTGGCGCGTGTTTAGTGGTAACGAACTGGGAGCCTTGCTCGGCTGGTGGCTCTTCCACTGCTGGAGGGAGCAGAACTCTGACTCTGGTGCAGTGAAAAACCTCTACATGCTGGCCAGCACTGTGTCCTCAAAAATACTAAGAGCCATCGCTCTGAAAGAGGGCTTCCACTTTGAGGTAACACGTTCAAGCTTGTGTTCCCATGTATTACATGGTACTTGTGTGTGGGTGTGGGTGTGTGTGTGGGTGGGTATTGCACCCTTTAAATGGTTAGAACCCTCCAGCAGAACCAAGCTCAGTGTGAGCGACCTTGTGCCGTGGCTGACTGGGGATTTAAGGAGACAGAAGCAGACCTACAAAACAAGCATAGAAGTACTGATCTATAAATACTTTCTATGTTAGAAAAGGTAACATTAAACTGGCTCCATAGGTGGCTCTGTTTAGGGAAGAAATGGTTAAAAAGAAGAGCTCTTATCCAGTTTTATGTCGAAAGGGATAGAAGAAAGCACATGTAGTTAGTCACATTTAAAGCTGAGCCTATAGCTGTGGCTAACAGAGAAGCTGGACAAACACTGAAAAACGGCCCCAACTCTACCATCTATGATCAAAGTTGTTGATGGCAGCGGCACAGCTGATATTTCCATTATGGTGTCCCTGCCAAATGAGACCAGGTCACTATATAGGTTATATAAAAAAATAGTATAATTCTTATTTTTTAATTGAACTTTATTGATCGCACATTGGAGAAATTTACCTCTGCATTTAACCCATCTACTTGGGGAGCAGTGGGCAGCCATTGTGCGGCGCCAGGGGAGCAGTGTGGGATTAAGGGTCTTGCTCAGGGACTTGGACTGCAGGCTGGGAGGATTGAATCGGGTACTTGCAACCTTCTCACAGCACAGTCACACTGCACTAACATCTAGGCCAACACCTCCACTATATTATATTTAACAGATACTGCAGAATGGGATAGTAAACATAGAATGATGAAAAGTGGTCCCTATGTTCTCGTGCAGCCAGGGCTGGTTATACTCCCGCAGCAGTTTGTCGCAGTGAGCTTGTCGCAGATATTTTTGATCTATGCCAAATATTGAAGAGTGGTCTGCACTATGTTATTCCACGCCACAACGCAAGAGGGACAATCAGGAACTAGCTGTGGGTCTAGATACGGCCGAGGCGGTGAGGAAGTGGGGGCAAGTTTGTGCGACAACGGAGGGACATGAGGGCGAAAAAGAGCGGGGATCCAAGTGGAAAGAGGGTCCCAGCGTTCTCGCTCTTCTAGCGGGGCCAACTTCACAAGTCATTTTTCACAACAACCGTCATACAAACAAAATAGCCAGTAAGTTACCAAACAGGAAATATGCATAGTGTAAAACGGATGTAGATTTGACCAGTTAGAGGCCTCCTGTCTGCGCTCACCTACAACATTGGAGAGTTGTAGCAGAGTGTCTGCAGCAAGGGCGGGGGCACATTTGCATTCAGTGCGACACACGCAGATGCCCTGGTTTCTGAGTATAAATCACACTTAAGCCTATAGCAGCATAACTATAGAGATAGCTCAGGATAGCAGACAGGATGTCTGCCTACTAATAGTTGGTTCCACAGGACAGGAGCCTGATTACTAAAATATCTGCCTCCCATTCTACTTTTAGAAATTCTAGGAACCACTAGTAAACCTGCAGATTGCGAGCAAAGTGCTCTTTAGGAACTTAAGAATTGATCAGATCCCCAGATATAAGATTTAGCTTAATTATGTTGGGTGAGAGGAGAATTGTAATTTTTTTTTCTGGATTTACCTGGGAGCCGATTAAGGGAAGTCAACATACCCCGGGAGAAATATATGAAATATGCTTTCCAAATTTGTGAAAGGCCAAGTCATTTTCATGTATTTATGAAAATGAGTTATGACTGATGAAATTACAAAGAAATTTCTACAACTTAATTTGTTTATTTTTGGCATTTTGCAAAAGGGGTATCATTTTGGATAAATCAGATTTATTATCGATTAAGGAAATTTTTTATTGAATCTATGCAATTTGTTGTAATTAAACATGTGGTTCACAGCAAAATTATTCCCATTTTTTGCAGGCTTTGCCATTAAAAATGTCAAGCCATGTGTGCTGTTTTTAAAGTCTTGTTTCTCTCAATGTTTGGACAGGAAACCCTGACAGGTTTTAAATGGATGGGGAACAGAGCCAAAGACCTCTTGGACCAAGGAAAGAGTGTTTTGTTTGCTTTTGAAGAGGCCATAGGTAGGCACACACTAACCAATGTTATCCCTTTGTCAAATCACACAGTCCCTTAGATGAAAAAGTCTGAAAAATGCTCTAGCTGACAGAAAGTGTCAGACTTCTCCCGTTTGCGACGATGTCTTTTGATTGTATGGGGTGCAGCTACATCAGTCATTATATCAACCTTTAACTGGGGTGGGCAACTAAAGCTTCTAAGTGGCACTTTGGTCAAAGTCTGTTGTAAAGTTTACTGGGAAATAAAAATGACACTTTATTTATAAGAAAGTTGTCATTTGCACATGAGCAGCAATCAATGGCACTTCATAGCTACAATACAAACATTTCCCCTTTTTTTTTCCCCAAGAACAAAAAGGAACAGTAAGAAGAAACAAATCATGCAGTTTCTGTTCCGTTCCATCATAAAGAAAAGAAAGAAATAGCTGCATTATGAATGTGTATAAATATTAATCATTACCAAACCAATCACTAAACATACCATATACATTAATATGCTGTCTTGTATATCTGTTAATGTAATTATTATATTTTCTGTTATAACATTCCAATATTTTCTTACAGTTTCTTAAATTTACAAAACTGTTACGCAACACTTTCCAATTCCAGGGTGTTCCACGGTAGACGAGAATATGGAAGCCGTTATTTAAGTAAAAATGAGCGTTTGTTTAATGAGCTTCCCGAAACAGGTTGAATAACAAGCAGAGCGGGCTCATGTGACGGCGTAATGGTCATGTGACTGGACTGACGCACTGGTAGAAAAAAAAATATTGTTTATGATAAAATAGTTCTGTATATAATTGTCAATTTTAAGATACTCGGACATAATGTTGATATTATAAAAAATAAATATAATAAATCTTTCCATCTGGGTTATATGAGCGCCAGACATTGTTACAATAATTGTTCCCTATTAGCTGCCTTACCAAGTCACTGCTGGAGTTCCTGAGTCAACTATAGCTGAAATGAAGGGCTCAGCCTTTCTTGCGTCTTCAGATGGAGAATTCTCATTCCCTTTGTTGAGCCTAATGTTTGCGGGGAAAGCCTGAAACCCCTTTGTACGGGCTTCATGCTTCACCTTGTAGCCTGATTTTAGGTGCTTTGAGGTTGCCTCTCTGTAGTCCGCAGCAAATTGAGGTTGGATATTAGCTACTTCTGGAGAATTTTTCCTGGAACCTTTCAGGATTGATCTCTCCGTCGTCGTGCCAAGGATTTTCTTCACCTGCCCAAACTACATTTGGTTCAGTATCAGATGTGTTCCCGGCTGCTACTAGAGCATTGTTAACTGCAGACAGCTCTGTATGCTTTAGAGTGGTTGTTAGTTTGAGTATCACCAACTCCCTCACATAGATTCATCTTAAATAACAGACCTCATTATTGCTGTGTTTGATGCAAAAGGAAGACATTTCTTTTCTCTATTGTAAAATATCAGAATTATAGTCAAACATGTCACTAGGTTCAGATAAAGTTTGTCAAACAAAGGGAGTGGGGCATAGTTGAAGGATTCCTCTTTAACTAGATTAAGATGCTGGAATTGGAACAGCGTGCCATTGTATACACGGTTATTAAAGGAAACAACAGCTGAGCTCTGCAGCTGGGAAATAGACTGTATGTGTGTTTGTGTATTTCAGGCTACATGTGTTGTAACTCTGTATTGGACAAAGATGGAGTCAGCGCTGCAGCTATTGCAGGAGAGATGATTTCATACCTGGCCACCAAAAACAAAAGTCTCTCCCAACAGCTCACCACCATCTTTGAAGAGTGAGACCCTTAGATTCTGCATATCTAACTTTACATTTGCAGATCTTTGTTGTCATTGTAGACTAACTAACTAGACTCACTTTCTCCCTGCGAAAATGTTCAGTTATGGCTACCACATCAGCAAGAACTCCTACTTCATCTGCCACGAACAGGAAGTCATCCGCAGTCTGTTTGAACGCCTGCGCAACTTCGGCGGCAAGAAGGACACGTACCCGTCGGAATGCGGGCGCTTCTCCATCTCTGCTGTTAGAGACCTGACCACCGGCTACGACAGCAACCAGCCCGACAACAAGGCTGTGAGAAAACCATTAGATCATAGACTCAGAGCTGAATAAACCTTTAATATCATGCCGTGAAGGGGGAAAATACTGCTGCCTCTACAATTATCGGCATCCCTGACAAAAATCTTCATAAAAGCCTCGATTGTTATGGAGACTCTGTGACCCCCAACATACAATGTTTCCTGCAGTTCTGTAACAATGAGCTGCTGAGTTTTTCCTCTTTTATACTTACTTTATAAGTTGAAAACATTTTGCACAGATCAAATTTTTGTTTTGTTTATTCTTCTTTCCATTAAATAAATGCATTCAGTTAAAGTTTAGATTCTTTTTAATTTGCCTTTTAAAGCATGGGCTTTGTTTTATGGATGTCTTCCAGGGTTAAAGGATTTTTTGAGGAATGCCTTGGAGAGAAAAGAAGGTTTTCCTTACATGAATTTTGCTGCTTTATCACAGATAACCATATAACAGTGAATTGAGGTTTTTTTCTTTTTTCAGCCCCTTAAATATTTCTCCCTGTCTTCTCTCAGATTCTTCCTACGTCCAGATCCAGCCAGATGATCACCTTTACCTTTTCTAACGGCGGTGTCGCTACCATGAGGACCAGCGGCACAGAACCAAAGATCAAATACTACACTGAGCTCTGTGCTGCTCCTGGTAACAGGTAGGTCATTGAACACACCATTTCCTCAACTGTGACTTACTTTTATAGGTTTATTAAGATCATTATCAACCAGGATTATTTTTGAGTTTTTGATGTTGTTTTTTGTTTTTATCGAGCTAATCGAAAATGTTATGTCTTTTTTTTTTTCTTGACATTAAAAAATGTCACATTCAGTGCATGAAAATCTTTTTACAGTTGACAGATGATCTGATGAAGAACCATCAACTTTTTGGGAGAATAATTTACTCTGCCACTTATTGGTTTCAAATAATTATAGCATTTCATCCTTTTTCTCTCTGGTTCTTTTTTCAGTGATGTGACGCATCTAAAGAAGGAACTGGATGACTTGGTTGACGCCATCGTTGAGAACTTCTTTGAGCCAATAAAGAATAAGCTGCAGCCGAAACCAGAGTAGTTCTAACGGAAAATGGTGACGAGAGTAGAAATGTCTCTGACCAGCTTTTAACATGTCTTAATTCTTCCTAAAGAGTTCCTTGGTTTTGCTCCAGCTTAATTGACTTTTCACTAGTTTGCTCCAGGGTGTTTAGAAGCCATAATAGTAAAATTAGCAAAATTGTTTTTTGTTTTTTTTTCATTTTGAGATCATTTGCAACATTCATGCAAAAATCTGACCCTAGTTAATTGAAATCGGAGTAGCTGTGGTTTGTTTTAAATAAAACTTCTAGCTAAACAATTCTATAGAGATCATTTATCCACTATATAAATAATGATTTTACTATTTTATTCTAAAATACATAGTCACCGCTCCGCTCGCCCTGCAGATGTTTCCAGCAACATCACAGAAGGAATGAGGCCACTTATCAGGGATCTTTTGATTATTCAAAACATTTCTGTTTGTATTTTATTTAATTAGTTCATGTGGAAATAATCAGCTTTGATTTTCTTTCTAAAATTGTTTTATTTTTGGTAAATTGGACGTGTAAATCGCCAAAGTCATTCCTTTTATCTAGACTAAGTTTTTATTTAAACTTGGAAAGCTTTACCTTACCTGTGTTTGACAGGATGCATTCCCAGATACAATCTCCTTTAGCATGAGCTGCTGCTGTGAAAAACTTCCCTCAAACTAAATGATGGGAACTGCTGTTTTGCTTTGAAAGTATGACACAGTACCGCTAACCATGGTAAGAATTTACCATTGGAATCTTTCTGCACTTATGTATTCAATGTAAATGTGGAAAATAATAGTGCAGACTGACCATAGTGTCACCAAACTCTGTGACTGCCTTTGCCGTTATCAGAAAAATGAGACCAACTCAGTGGATAGTTCAGTCTACCTCGTTACACAGTGGTAAAGGTGTTTTTTTTTATACATTATACAAATAAAAGTTTCAAAGCTTTAGTTTATAGTTAGTCATTTTCTAATAGAAGCTATCAGCATAGAATATAAAATCCCTTTATTGTCCCACAATGGGGAGATTCTGTTAGGATATGCGAGTCCCTGTATTTTAGTCTCTTTTCACAGGTCAGTATTTTTTACATTTGTGTATGTTTTTTGGTGCAGTTTCCCAACAGCATTTTTGGAATAACAATATTTGATCGTCACACGGTTTGGTGTAACCCTGTGTCTTCAACCTTTTTTTGCAATAAAGGCAACTTTGTTGCTTCTGGCACCACCTGACATTTAAACCGGAGGTCTTCAATGTGGGGGGCGGTCAAAATATTCATTTCAAATTCTGTCAACTTTCATTGGCTGAAATCGTGTATCCAGCCCTCATCCCTCTATACAAATTGTGTTTCAGGTGCTTCCAGACAGTTTTTGTTTTTTAGCACCACCTTATTCTTAAACAACAGCAGCTGTTTAATGGATGCAACCTGCTGTAGATTAAACATGGCTTTTGAATTGGTAACCACGCTGTGAGGGGCAGATGGTTATGAAAAATATTATTGGCCATCACTGCCGATTTTAGATGAAATTCAAGAGAGGCCAGGGTAGGGCCATTACTTTTTTTTTTTTCATAAGGACACATTAAAAAAATACACGGTAAAATAATGGTAAAGAAAATTCTATAGGCAAAATATTGAAATTGGTCCAAGGGAAAAAAAATCAGCTATGGCCTCTTCTGTTAACACATATCACCATAATACATTTATTTAGTATTACACTACAAAAACTGATCTATAAAAGGAACATTTTCTTAAATAAATTGCATTCACCCTTAATTTGAGCAGTTAGTTATAATTATTATATATATTTTTTAATTTTAAAATAGATAAATATTATGTACTTAATGCAAGTTAATGGAGGGAATTTATTTTCCCTTATTTTACAAGCAAATCATCTTATTCTAGTACCAAATTGTAAAACATTCCTGCTCAAATCAAGGGGACATGCACTTCAAGAACAATGTACCTAATTATATTTCAATTCTTGTAGCTTGTTTTTTTTTTTATCCAGCGGCCAAGACCAGTTCTACTGGGGCACTGACTCCTATTTAGAAGCACACATGTTGGATTTGTATTGTTTGTTGCTTTTTAAGCATGTTGTGGTGCCTAATAAGTGTCAAATGGTGCTGTTGTATCCATGTGACTTTCGAAAGATTATATTCTAAATAGCTTTCCATATACCACCAACTGGCATTAAAATAACTTCGCCTCGTTCATCAAACCGCCGCCAGGGGGAGACATTGTGCATTAATTCTTCTACACTCAACCCATTCCTTCATACTCAGTTATGTTTCAACTCAAAGGGATTCCTCACATCTTCTTGTTACTTTCTTGTATGAGTGAGACCTTCCCTCAGATATGCTGTATTTCTATTTTACACCTGCTTTTCTAAACATTGTGTCATTAAGCATTTATTTCCCCACACCAATAAAAACATTTTCCAACTACCCTGAATTCCTGTGTAATGAGACGTACAGCGAATGTTAATTAATTTACACCATCATCAGTGGGGTGTATTTGTGCAGAGGAGGGAGGTCGGATCGGCCCCTGTCTTCTATATTTAACACGAGCAGCAAACAGCGAGAGCCGTGCGTGGAAAGGTCTCTCTCTCCTTCTGTGGAGTGGGTAAGAAGCGGGCTGCTTGTTTTCCTTCAGCCCTCCTTTCAAAGCGTGTCTGACAGAGAAGGAGGAAGTCACAGGTAAGATTGATCCAGGAAGATATCAGATGATGAGGCAGACATTAAATTCATTAGATGCGCATTAATGCAGATGATGTTATAGGGCAGATGAAAAATGTAGGTTTTTACTTCCGCGTGATCTGGGCCAACTTAAGGATTTAAAATCAAACAAGGTCAACCATCATAAGGTGGGTAAGGAGCCGCTTTGCTCATGTTCTTCTGCACTTCTTCACATGATCGTTTTGTTTATATGCGTGGTGTAATCGGATGACCTCCTGTCGATGGATGCATTTTGATTTAAGGCAGTTTATCAAATCCTTTCTGAAACAAACCAGAGAGAATCTGACGCAGAAAAGGTCGTCTATAAGTTTCACCGTACAGCCTTCTTGTTTATTTGTCCTTGTAGCTGTAAAAGTCAAGCAACTTTTTTTATTCTGGGCTGTTTAAATAAAACTAAACACTGGGTTCATGAGATTAGAATAGAATAGATTATGCCTTTATTGTCCCACAATGAGGAAACTGGATTAACTGCCTGCATTCATTATTTTATCATTAAGAGACCAGAAACTAACAAATGAATTGTTGATATGAAATCCATTTCGGAACATTATGGGTTCTAAAAGACCTGTTTGCCTTTTAGCACTTTTAGATTATATTTGTTGTGAATTTTCACTATATGTATGGAGGACCAACTCTGCCACATTTAAAGATAAATACAGAAATAATTACCTGCTCAATAAATAGATAAGCATACAATTAATTGCCCCAAAAAATACAATAAACAAATAAATGTAGGTAGAAATTAAATTATACAGTGAAACATAAATGAATATATCTCTTTTAATTAGCTTCTTTATTTATTTGCCTTTATAATAATTGCCATATTTATTTATTATTCGTTATAATCTTCAACTTTATTACTTATTTTTGTAAGTATACATTTATGTGCATGTCATAATATTTTTGTCTGTTTTATTCTTTGTATTTTTTTTTATCCTATTTATTTCTGTGACACTATTTATTTCTGCCTGTCGTTTTCTTTTACATTTCTGTATGCAGAATGAGGAGAGGCTGTGTCTTAGAGGTACCTGGCGTAACTTTCTGTAGGACTGGTGTGGACTTGTGACATGAGGGGACAGTCCCCACCAATAATTTCTGTTTTTCCCCCTGTCTGCTGATTTACTTTAGCCACCAGTAACTGGGGTTGGGTGTTCAGAGCGTTTTCAGTCCGTGTTTTTTCCTCACTCTCGAGTCCCACCACTGAAATATCATCGGATCTGTCACTTTGCGACATAATATTATTTGGGGTCATTATTCACTGTGTATGTAGTAGCTACGTGGAGGAGGAGAGACACAGCAGTTCTGCTTGATTTGGGGGATTTCTTACATTTGATTTCAATTTATTAGGCCGCTGGGAGGTGAAACTCTGCCCCACTCTTTAGGTGTCCTCTAGCTTTGGCCTGTTATTAATCAGCTTCTTCATTACTGCTGGAGAAAAATATTCCCACAGCATGATACCTCCACCATCAGGGTTCACCATAACAGATTGTGCCCTCATATTGTTTACTGTGTAAATTAATGTTAAGCTGTTGTTATTTTGCCTTTAGATGCAGAAGGCCGCTCACACTGAGTGGTTAAGAGGGAGTTTTTCCTCTCCACTGTCGCTACAAGCATGCTTAGTGTGAGGGATTGCATCCGAGTCAATGAGTCGATGCAATCAGCTGGTTTTCCTTAGATAGAAAACTTTGAATTAATTTGACTGGATGATCTGGTGAATTGTAAAGTGACTTGAGATGACGTGTTGTGAACTGGCGCTATATAAATAAACTGAATTGAACTTACTTGGATTGTAGAAAACTGCAAAAGAAAAAAAATCTCGTGGGTTTCTTCTTCTCACTCTAATGCAAAGTGTAGAATTTTGGAATGATTGACAAATAGTTTCCCTTTTCAAATGGCTGTCAGTTTTGGTACACAACCAGGTTTTGTAAGTCCGCATTTATCTGACTCTTGATTTTCAGATGACAGATTAAAGCTTGAGGTGTTGATTTATGACCTAACACCTCTTTTGGCAGCTCGTTCAGTAACGTATCTACCAAGTCATTTTCCAGGTTTCAAATAATGTGTGATCACTGGACTCCTTTTTATTTATCATCCAAATACATGTGCATGCAAAAAATGTTTAGATTTGTTTTTACAGAAATTTCTAGTTTAACATAAAATAATGTGCAAAAAAAGCTTAATGGGTTCCAAGGCACTGTAAATAAACAATTTAATTAACTTAGGATCTAAAAAGATATGTAGAAGACAACTCTGCATTTGCTGCTTAGTAACGTTTCACTGATGTGTTGCAGGTAGAGGGGAGGAATACAGCTGCCAGAAACTATGGATGGACTTTACTTTGAAGTAAAACCGAAAGGAGGGGAAGCCAAGAGACCACAGAGCTCTGAGAAACCTCGTTATAATCTAACCTCAAACCATCACTCCTGTCCCTCCCTGTCCCGGCTCAACTCTGCGGCTCAGAGTCCTCAAAAAAAGGAGCAGGGTGCATCATGGAGGGGACAGGTGGACGAGGAGGAGATACGATACCAGCTGACGATGATTGGTTTTAGGGTAGTCCACCGCCTGACCACCATGGCCATGCTGCCCTGGGTTGTGGCAGAAATCTGCAGGTCCACCAAGAAGGATGGAGGCTCTCAGAGAGGAAGTGGAGGAGGTCCTCTGCCATGCTATAATAAGACAGTGTTTCTGTGCGTGTCTGCATCCTGGGTGCGGTGTGTGTCTGTTCTGGCAGAGCGGCGTCTCTGGGACCCTCTGACACACAACGTGCTGTTTGAATGTCGCCCACATCAAGTGACCAAGTTGATTCACAACAGCCAGGAGCCCAGCATCTTCGCCTGCCTGGTGAGAGACTCGCTGAAGTGTGCCTGCTACGTCTTCCAGTGCCTGGACAGCAACAAGGTAGGCATCTGTCTTAACATGTGGAGATGTGTGCAAGGAATCATAACCTCATATATGCTCAAAATACACATAAAGGCTGGTCCTGCAGTTTGGTGCACATTGGGTGTAATAAAATAAAGAAAATAACTGTGTGACATGTGCTGAACTGCTCTACATTGACTTTGTTAGGAAGTCACATTTTAAATAGACAGAGTTCCTCTGCATGTAATTTAACCTTAGTATACCTACATTTTTTGTAAAGGTGCATAAGTAAGCAAACTGGATCGCAAGGCTCAAAGAACACAGCAGACAGGCTAGAGGTAAAGTTTGCATGAAGCTCTCCTTAATTCATCATCTGAAAACAGCAAAAGTGTTTCATATGTAAACCAACAGGCCGGTCAAGGAGAAAATGAATCAGAGAAGAGGGCTGTGGTAACTCTGGGGGATCTGCAGAGATCCGCAGCTCAGCTGGGAGAATTTTCCAACAGGAAAACTATTAGTGATGCGGACCTTAAATATGGAACTGTGGCGAGAAGAGACAGATATAGGGAGGACAGCACACATGGAGAAGGAGCAGCTCTGCTCAGATGGGACAGAAACTGGTCATTATGCTACAGTATGGGGGATGCTTTTCTTATTTGGGACGACATTTGTTGCTGAAAATAAAACAGACATGAAAGAAAATCTTTTAGAGGCTCAAGAGATTGGGGCAGAAGTCCACCTTCCAGTGGAAAAATGAACCCAAATATAAAGCCAGAGCTACAAAGAAATGGTTTTGATAAAAACGTATTTATGTGTAGCATCGGTCTAGTCAAAGTCCAAACATCCAGATCAGAATCAGTGGCAAGAATTAAAAATATTGTAAATTTTGAGCATTAAAAAAAAAAAAAAAAGCGCAAAGCGGGTGAAGACATCGCCCCCAAAAGACTTGGAGTAGTAATGCCAGCAAAAATAGTTTATGACTCGATTAAGCAAAATACAAACTCCAAATAAAAACAACTCTAAAACTACTATCTTCAATCCACCTGTTTGTTTAAGTTCCATCAAAATACAATTAAGTTTTTGGCTGTGACTCTTGAAAAAGCTCAAGGGGTATGAATACCTTTTTAAAACTCTTAGATATATGAATTTTGATGAAATAGTTCTCAGAACTACATGGTCCTTTTTCGGTTATTCCTTTGCACGTTATGACATTTATACTTTGCCTCAGATTTATTTCAGCAGCCTGATAGAAAATGGAACCATAGATTCAAAGACAGAGCTCAGGGTGAGGTTGGCTGAGAATCTGGTAATGATGAACGAGCCGAAGTTAGCGAGGAGATGCAAAAGTCGTGGCTGAAGAATAAAGGATCCACATGCAGGAAGCAGCAGGTGAAAAACAAGCACAGCTTTATTGATTTATTGGATCTAAAAGCACAAAGTGTCACAGTGGCAGGTAAACAAGAATTACCCATAAATGACCGTGATCTAAAATAGAAGGGATTGAAAACGGGTCCTGAGATGGATGCATTGCCCCTGATCAAGCAGAAAGGAGGAATGTACACAGAAGGGAACTAGAGGCAAAATAACAACAGCTTAATATTTAGCTGAAGAAATGCAGAGAATAATTACAAACAAGGGAAAAATCAAGCCAAGTCAATCTCCCACAACTCTTTCATTTTTCTTGACATGACCTCTGACCTAAAGTGATCCCTGTAGATGTTGTTGGTTCAGTTCTTTGTCTGTTTATGGTTATTACCTCTCTCAGAGGTTGACAGGAGTCACAACACCTTTTTACATAGCACCATGTTTAAATGTACTCACCTTTACATTATGTTCCGTCTCTGTAAA